GAATCTAGACAGCGCAAAAGCTTTCATTTCAATTTATACAAGATGATAACTTACAAAGTTAAGATCATCTACACAATTGACAAAACGTCTGATTATTAAAAAAAAGTGAACATGTATTATTTATATCTGTACTGTATTCGTAGATATTTTAAATGAAGCACAATCAGAAATAATTACTTAAAACAATAACGTTGTAGATATTTGATGTTTGTTACGTTGTTTCTCGAAGACAAAATAACCTAGTTTAGGAATCAGGCAATTGGCGTAATTTAAACGTCGATAAACAATTCACAATAATAGTCATAATACATAATGTATTATATTTTTGTTTTCAGGATGCATTATGCGAGCCTCCAGTGGATTCAGCTTCATTACCATTAGAACACCGAGCAGGTGGTGGCTATGGCCCGCCATTGCCTCCTGCACACACGGACGACCCTTGGCCACTTGCTACACCGGACAGTCCAAAAATTAAACATTTACAAGTTCAATGCGAGAAAACGCACATGCGAGTTAATATAGAATTTGATCGTCCGTTCTATGGTATGATATTTTCAAAAGGATTCTACAGTGATCCACATTGCATGCATCTCAAACCAGGTACAGGACATCTTAGCGCAACATTTGAAATTTTCCTCAACAGCTGTGGTATGTCGAGTTCAGCAAACCATAACGTTGCTACATACGGAAGCCCAACTCCAAGCGGATCTTATGTTGAGAATACAATCATCGTTCAATACGACCCATATGTTCAAGAAGTATGGGATCAAGCACGAAAATTACGATGCACGTGGTATGATTTCTACGAAAAAGCTGTTACCTTCAGACCTTTTCAAGTGGACATGCTCCATGCAGTTACAGCAAATTTTCTTGGCGACAACTTGCAATGCTGGATGCAAATTCAAGTGGGCAAAGGACCATGGGCTTCAGAAGTTTCAGGCATTGTCAAAATAGGACAAACGATGACAATGGTACTTGCTATAAAAGACGATGAAAACAAATTCGATATGCTTGTCAGAAACTGTGTAGCTCATGATGGCAAAAGAGCACCTATTCAACTCGTCGATCAGTATGGATGTGTTGTGCGGCCCAAAATAATGAGCAAATTCCAAAAGATAAAGAATTTCGGTCCATCAGCTTCAGTAGTATCTTTTGCATATTTCCAAGCATTCAAATTCCCCGACTCTATGAATGTTCATTTCCAATGCGTAATTCAAGTATGTAGATACAACTGTCCTGAACCAAAATGCGGTCTTGGTAATGAATATGGAGTTCCATTATTAGGCGGCAATACCGTTGGTGCTGGAGTATACGGACCTCCCAACTCTCCTCATGCTGAGTATGGTCCGCCGCCTCAATCTCCACACGCAGAATATGGCGTACCTCCAGCTTACCCTGATCCTCGGCACCCTGCTGATGCTACAGGCGCATTCTCAGAAAAGCGTGATGATGCAGTTCCACCACCACAAGCACAAGTATCATCAACACCTAATGCGCCGAGCCCCTCATCACCTGCACCAGCTCGTGAAGACGACGAGGTAAATTTGCCACCACCACCACCACCAGGTCGTCGTGGAGTTTACAATACTGTAAAAAGGAAAGACGAAGCTCATGGTAACCTAGCGACATTAGGTGGCAGACCTCGGTCTGTAGAAGACTTGCCCGAGAGTTTAGTTGGAATTAGAAGACGAAGAGCAACATCTACGCTTGCACGTTTACAAGCGCGATGCTCAAGAGATGACAGATGTGAACACTAGTCGCACCATTCAAGTCGTAGCACCCGGTGATGTCAACTTTGCACTAAACAATGCTGCAGCAAACGAGACCGTGGTGATCCAGTCTCCAGCGAGTGATCCGGAGACAATATGTATGTCAGTGCCGTCGTTTGTGGCGGGACTGGTTATGTTACTATTAGTGTTAGTGGTGGCATCCCTGGTTGCCGCGTTTCTTTTCGTGCGCGTACGAGCGCTCGACAGAAAGGGCGCCCACGGGACTACCGCCTACTACGAAACGGATTATGTGAAGCACACAAATTAAGGTGACAGAGTTCTACGAGTGCGAGTGTGACGCGAGGACGTTCCATAAACTCTACTTGGATCCAAAGAGCGTGCGCGCTTCGGCCCCGGCCGGACGGCCCGATGGCTCGACGCTGTCGCGGTTGCGATCGAAGCCCGGTGACGTGTGACTTATTTATTTAGTTAGTGAGCGTGATGTATATGTTCGACTGTTTTGTAAATTATTTTATTCGTGTGAAAAGCACTCTGTACTTATTTAGTCTGTTGTAATTTTGTAAAGAGTCGTAAGTAAGGATATAGTTGTAAGGAAGTTATACTTATACCAATTAAAAAGTGTCGCGTGTGAAAGAACAGCTTATTATTACACCTATTACTAAACGTCGCCTCTTACAAAGTTTTCGCCAAATTCAGAATCATAGAGAAAGTGGCTAACAATCAGTGCAGAATTTTTATTTTTTTCCAAGAATTGTAAATTGATTGCAAAAGTGATTCAAACTTAAAAGAAATCTTTAAAGTATAAGTACGAGTAATCCATGCGTCCTTCATGGACATTAAGCGCCACTGATATTTCAACTTCTTAATGATCGTATGTGTCTACACTAATATCTTACTAATATAATAAACAATAATTAGACAATTTTTGTACATAGAAGATATTAAAAAAAAATCAAACTAAAAGAGCACTGATAATAAGAGAACTTAATAAAAGAAATAGAAATCAAAACAATATTTTTTAGTCTATACAGTATATAAGTTTTGACATATCTGATATCTTTTCCATCGCTAAATGATCAGATCGCCAACCTCCGGTAGGAGATGGTACCTTAAGAAAAAGAAGATACCCTTTCCGTTACTACGAGCATCACAGTACATTCGGTGAAAATCCGTGGTGATGTTCATATCTATAGGCAATGGATACTACTTTCAATCAAGCGGATCGTCAATTTATTAGCCATTCTAAGCTGCAAAAAAATCCTTTGGACTTTTTTTAATTTATCATAACACAGTATAATTCGCATGAATTTATCATCACGATATGATAAGTACATACAAATAGAGTTGCTTTTAACTTTCCGTGTACGTCATGTACGGAAATTAAAAGTGACTATACAATTCCATCATATTGCTTTCATATTATACCGTAACGATAAAATCGCATGATGTCGTGCTTTATTAAAACTAAATCGTAAATAACGCCCTCTATCCAATTTATTGAAAAATATTATATTTTAGACCATTTATAATATTTATTTAATAACATTCTAACTATCTTATCTGAATATAAAAATAATAATAAATATCAATAAACAAAAACCTTAGAAGAAATTAAATGAGTATTCATCACCACAAAAAGTGCAAAATATTTGAATAAAATGTTAGTAATTGGGATAGATAAATAGACAAAATCGTTCGTTGCTTCATTCTTACTACATTATTTTTATTTTTATTTGCTAAATAGATTAAAATAATTTTAATAGATACCTTATAGATAATTAATAATAGTAGAAATGTTTTAATTCATATAATAAGTTGCATTCCTGGAATTTATATGCACTGTAAAAATATACTTTTTACAATTTTAGCACTTGCTACTTCCTGAAGACGAATACAGTATACGCAATGTAAGTATAAAATGTAATTAAGTTTTAGTAAATAAGATGTCGTAGCATCAGCGATAAAAGAAAGAGCATTCGATTTTTAAATTAAATAAATACGTTAGAAGCAAGAAATCAAGATACGCTGGTACTGGTACATTTGCAGGTAATTATATCATAATTTTAAATCTATGCGACGTAACACTGCTAACTTTATTAAATACTTTATTGTAGTAAAATCTATTCAATTTAATAAAAAAAATAATCAGTAATTAATTGATATATACCCAAATGTTCAAAAAGATCTAAAGAATACTAAGAAATGATTACATATATTTTTATAAAGGCAGGTCGGTTTCTAGTCTGTAACATAGCACGCCGTAGTTATTACGCTACACCTTTCTTTACTGTAGCTATGCGGCAAATTCTATCCCAAATAATAAAATATGTAAAAAGAAAATAATCTATTTATAATAACTTTAACACGAAATAGACTAAAGTTAAACGTTTTTAGGAAATTCCTACAATATTGCTAATAGTTCTAATTCTTATTGACAATGTAATTTAAGATTTAATTTATTCATTGCAATAGGTATTGTTGTTGGGAAGTCGACTTCATTCAAAATCAGTGATTATCAGGCGGCGTATTAAGTATAATTTAATATTTTACCATAATTAATAGTAAAAGTGAACATAAATGGTAATAATGGCAAAGTATTTACATACTATTACACATAACCGTACTCAGTAATTTAATGGTGTGGAAATAACAGATAAAAAATATATCTTCAAAAGGTCACCGTCAATTCGGTTCTGTTCAGTTATCATCTGGTTTTTTATTATAACAATACAACTGAAATATCCGATTTTTATAATATTTAGCTTTAAATCAGCGCTTAAAATTCAAATTTTTAACTCTAATCTTTGTTGTTTTCATATATTCAATTCCTTCTTATAGAACATTAATAAATATGCACGCGATTACTTCTATAAAGGTAAATGTTTTCACAACTGCAGCCTATCTACCATGAAAGTTTGTTGGAAATTTTAGAAACGAACGAACGAATTTTGTCACAATATTATAATTTTGATAATTCAAACAATTTTAAAGGTTTTGAACTAAATCCCTGAATTTTAGTATGTACGAACGTGTTTTGAAGACTTCAATTCCAAACTTTAGAGCTATGGCTTTCAGATTCACAAAATGCCTACCTAATATCATCAGGCGCCGACTGTGTTCTAATAGCCTCTTAATTATAGTAATGTTCATTATTCACATAATTGGACTCACGTATGAGAAAAAATGGCATCTGTTAAATGACGCACATTTGCAAGCATTGTTAATTACAGCAAGAACAATCATCAAATCATAAATTCACACGAGTTTCACCTCCAAGGTTGATTTTTCTTAAAACTCTTCGCATTTTACAACAAATTCTTTGGTGTTAGTACAAGATTCATATGGGAAGGTATCGACTCGTTTCTAGTGGGACTCTTGTACAAAATTCGTGACCGTTTATCATATTTCTCACCGATTATATTAACAAGATCCTGCAATGAAAATTTATACCTAGTAAGTATCAACACTAATGATTCTGTGAATTGTAAGCCTATTTTTTAATACAACTTGGAATAGCAAACAAGCTGACGACCCACCTAATGGAAAGTGGTAATCGTCGCCTATAGACACGAGCAGTACCATGGACATAACAGAGTATAGTGTTTCACCCATGATACCCCCATGCGTTGCCATTCCTGAGAACTCAGGTGTTATTCCTCTGGACCATGTAAATTCATATTAAAATAAAAATGTTTCTGTAGTTATTTGAATAAAGTTTATTATATAGGAGCATTTAAATTTCTCACAATTTTTTCTTAATATAAAGTCGAACCTTCGACCGGTACTATAAATTATTTTTAAATATAAATAACATTCCAAAATCAATTACAAATTGTATATTATACAGATTATAAATTAAACAAATAGTTTAAATCATAAAATTTGTAGAAGAATGAATCATAAAATCATAAACTTCCGTGTGACAACGAAGTAAAAAATGAAACCATATCCCACGATGTTAGATAAGTAGTAGATTAATAATTAATAATAATATTAATAATTAGAGTAAAAGTAGATTTTCCTCTTATCGGAAAAGAACCGTTCCTAGCAATAGTAAGATAACGTAATAAGATAATTTGATAAATCCGTGGTTTTATACCTCTTTAAACAACGATTCATCTACTTTTGAATTTTGTTTCACATGTGACTCGATTATACTAGTGGTCGCTTGACGCCGATCACAAGCATTTACAGCTGGTATTAGGGATCTATGTTGCGCTGAAGATAAATGTTCGTTGTAACATTTCTCTGACGTCTGGTTACATCGGTTCACCTTAGGTCTAGGATATTATCACTCAACGCCTTCTGCGCCTTCTAGTTCCAAACTAAACCGCATATTTTCTTAAATTTATATTGTACAAGGATTGAACCCACAGCCAACGAAAGGTGAAGCAGTATCTTAAACTACTATATTACTAAATTTGACTAGTGTAAGTAAAGGCATTAAAAGGTTACAAAAACATGAATGTAATTGGTCAAAAATAAAAAACTTTAATCCTTCTATACCTAAACCGAATTATACTTCATTATCATTAATTCAACAGTCAAATTAGTATACGAGTACAACACTCTAAATTATTTATTGTTTTTCAACCCAAGTTTTTTAGGAAAATGTTCAAATTCATCCTAAAATGTTCCTTTTGACTCCGAATGTTGACATGCAATTTTAAATATAGAAAGTCGGGTATCTGTTTGAGAAGCCTACTACTATGAGCAGCCTTTATTTGGTTTCGAATTTATTGGTAAAGTTACACCATGTAACTTTACCAATAAATTCGAAACAACACATTCGAAATGCACCAGAGTACTTAAAATGCTTGGGCACTGTCGACAAATGCGACTAAACGGTAAAGCTACTCATACCATTTTTTCGCAAACCACAACCACGATCTCCACTAAAAAAGCAAACCAAGATTTCTTTAAATATTACTTTTAAACACTACAAAATTAAGAATATCAGTTAGCACTCTTACCGCAGTTTGATTTTGATATGAAGGTGAACATGAGGTTCTGTAAATGGTTGGACTCCGAGGTGGTAGACAACCATTGGTACGACAAAGACGTGGTACTCGCCAGTTGTATTGCAGAAACTGTGTCTCGTACTGTTTGAAACATTTCTTTCGATATTTCCGAGGTACTTTGGCATTCTTATTTTCACATTTAGGACATTGATTCTAAAAAAACGAATAGTGTGTAAAGAAGTAAGAAAGATCTACTAGTAGATAATATATAAGACGACAAAGTGTTTTTCTAGATGGTAAGAGAAATAAAAGGTAAGTTTCGAAATGAATGCTCTTAAACAGTCGGAAGCAAATGGATACATTAAATAGGATACAAAGTTTTGGGAAAATCATGTATCTACCAGTGAACAGACAAAAGCTAGGATGACGATTATAACAATCTTTTCTAAATCAAAAATACGTACCGATACTATCATGTGCGTCGCTGGCGCTTCCATTCGTGGCGGGAAACGCGCTGGCTGCCTGTGACACTGCGCTCTCGATGCTGCTCGCTGCGTTGAACAACAGCCGGCACAATTCGCAAGCAGATGCGGTTGAAGCTACACACATTGATCAGTATGCTAAAACTTGTCGTTATTCGAGTAGGTAAAACTATCAATTCTTAAAGACCCTATATATATAAGAATAAGAACTTTATTTCATTGTCATTGAACAAGCACGTCTACTGTGTATTAATATCTGGTTGATAATTAGGACTATATTACATGCCCAGAGCTAACGACAAAGCCCCGGTGTATACATAATATTATCTATGACAGAACTAACAAATATACCTAACTAAATATATAGTAACTAAAGTAGAACAAAGTATCTAAATACGAAATAAAGAAAGCAGATGGGAATAACTACAAGGATTGTCCCTAGTATTCACAGGCTTAACAGTAACACACCGGGGAAAAGGGATTGTTAGTAATGGAGACTGATAATCCCATTGCTAGCAATATACCCAACCAGGTCGACCTCCTCGCGGTTCTCCCTGGAAACTATCATGGTTAATTCCTTATGAATTCATCATGATGGGCTAACTGCCCTGTTTTCATTCTCATCGATCACCCTTCACTGGTGCTCCGCCAGCGTATCCCGTTAGCGCAGATGGGGTTACCATACCATTTTCACTCATAAAAAAAAACTGTAACACACCGTTTGCACCAAATATGCCGCAGATAACATGTGTTGCAACCTACATATGTTTTGGTGTAAACGGGGAATACGAGTTATTAGGTAAAGTTCTATATAATGTATAGATTAAAAAGGATGTCAGAGCTAAACGGAGGCCCGTACATCGGAGGCAGCACCTGGGTCAAGATGTGAGCAGCCTGGAGCGCCGGGTGGTAGGCGCTGGTGGTCGCCGCTCGCTTTGCCGGCACCTTCGCTATTGTGAACGTGCACTTTTATATTATTTCGGACTAGATGCGGTTTAATCTCTTCAAACCAAACATTGCACAGCTGAAATTATAAACATACCTATTATTTTGTTTAATTTATTTACAAATAAATGACAATAGAAATATACATGCGAAAATGTAAAGATCCCGGAGCTTGGTCTAGATGGTCATGACCTGATAAATCATGTATAATACACAATAAAAAAAAAGTCTTCGAATCTGGCATGAGATAAATTATGAAGACGGCCTTTCGTACTCAAACCACAACATACATAATAATATCCCTTATTATAAAATATTCTAAGAAACAAAGTCATAAACTGTGAATATAGTGCCCGATTAAGCTATTTTTCCACTCTACAAAATATTTGCCGCTCTTTGTAATAAATGACCATTTTAACTCCAGTTAGTTTGACTTTTTTTTTTAATTGGTGATAATAAAATAGTAACTCCGTCTGCGCTATCGTTATACGATGGCAGGGCACCAGTGAGGAATGGATGATAGGTGACGATAAAAACAGGTCAGTTAGCATATCGTGATGAATTCCATTAAAATTAACCATGATAGTTTCCAGCGGAAACCACATGGAGTTCGACCTGATAGGATATGTGGCTGGAAAAGGGTCAGCTAGACTCCATTACTAACAATCCCTTTTCCCCCAATTAGTTTGACTTACTGCTCTCCTAGATAGAGTTCTGGGATGAGAGTAAATTAAGTTTTATAAAGCAACAAAATTTAAAAAAATATAAGCGATATGTGGTGCTCGATGCTAAAGAAAGAATATATTGTAAAGCTTTCCTATATTTGTAGATTTTTAATTAAAACTAGTACAGATATGTGAACATTAAATAATAATCACGAGAACTAACAAATATTACAACGGATTTGCTTATAATATTCGTGCAGGCACTTACTCCAACTAATGCGTTTTCTAATTCATAACGTATACTCTTCGGTATTTTGTTACTGTTTCGACTACGTTGCTTTATATCTATATTAGAAACAGTACAATCCACTGAAGTCTCTAAACAGTAACGTCTCCGTGTACCATTTCCACTGGTATCTAGCTGCTTCCTAATTCGTGGATGGGACATTTTGTCATAAATATTAAACGGAAATTAATTTTTTTTAAAGATTATTTTCTTAAAAACATATATAAAATAGAAACGTCAAAACAGGCACTTTCAATTGTTCATTTATTTTTTAATATTTACAAAAAAGATTTTTTTAAAAAGTATTAACAGTGGAGGGAAATATAAATAGGCAATGAAGACTCTGTGACAAGCTGTATTACATATATAATACTACTACTACCGTAACATGGTGATCTAAAAAGGCGGAAAATGTTAAACATAGCGGTATTCTAGAAAATGAAACTACAATTAAAATACTTGACGCTGGCAGAAATGGTTGTAAAAATAAAAACCGAATGCAATTAAAAAAAATAAAAATAAATAGGCATTTTGCACAGTTAGAGGTCTGCCTATTCGAGTGGTACTTATATGTGCTCAAACAATATAATCAGTAGTTATATGTATATGTAAAAATTGTTAATCCTCTGTGTGCTACAGACGTAGGTATGTGTAATATGTAAAAATGGTAAAAACAAAGAATGTGAAGGTAGTCAATATGAAAAATATACCTACCTGCATAATAAATTATGAAGGTAACTACAACTTATTTAGTTTTCGCATTGTCTACATTATGTGTTACATGAAAATACAACCAATTATTTATTCTGATACGGTAGTTAAAAAATATCTAAATAATAATTTAATAACTAAGCACCTTAGTTATTATCAAAGATAACTAATTGAAAAAAAAAAATGAATTGGAAAACGACTTTATACGCAAGTGGATCATTATTATGTGGCATCGCGTTAAAAGTATTAAAAGATAATTTGTTTAAACATAATGCAAGTAATTGCGGTATTAACGAAGTGTTACTTTATGGCGCTGATAATGAAGAACGGGTGAAGAAAATTGGTTTGGATAATCTCTTCTGCATATACTACATGATAGCTCGCGCCAGTGACTCGATAGACGTTTGCATACCAAGTCTGCAAAGCGAATTAATTGTTAAGTGCTTCATCTCTGCACAGCAAAGGAACAAACCAAAAATTAGAATTACCATACACGACAATGACAGCTTTTGTAATTTGAAATCTGTCGCCGAGAATGGAATCGAGGTAAAGTTTATTAAGTCATCAGAACGCCTAGAACACGAATTTATATTGATAAATGCTACGGGGCCTTTTAAAGAGGCTGTGGCAATTATAGGCTCCCTGGATTACGACACCTCTAGAGTCAATTGTAACAGCGACGCGACAATAATCACCTCTGAACTTGCTGTGGTAAAAACTTTAAAGAGAGAATTCGACAGAGTGTGGAATATCACTAATATTTCAGGGGTAACGTTGGCCAAAAATTAACTCAAATGTAATTGATTTATTTATTTAGTTCATTTAGTTGTCATTAGTAATATAATTGTGGAATTAGAAATAAAAGTTTATAATTAACAAAAATATTTAAATTTTATTCCATTTATCTATTTTATTACAATTATTATTTTGAAAGCAATATTCACATTATACATTAAAGTTACATCTATTTGTACTGGAGTGCTTCTTGATCCTACTATACACTCATATAAATATTTAAAAAAGAACCTATCTGATGTTCATGTTTTGTCGATTTACTGTTTATGTATTTATTAAATATTACAATGACAATAAAAATTACTTTATAAAGATACTATATATATTGGAAAATTAATATACAAGAGCAATTTAATAATAATTTTGTATTGCAATTGAAAACTTAAATATTTTAATATATAATTAACAAAAATAGAACATAAACAGCTGACAAATTTACAATCTTGATATTATTTTGAATTGTTTCATATTACAATAAAAATAGTAGGTTTCAAATAAACAGTTGTTTAAAATAATAAGTTAATTATGCAATAAGCAAATAATACTTTTTCGAGTCCTTAGACTAAGGTATGAGATACCGGATGAAGAGGTAATGGCCGCTTTATAAATATACAAATAATACCATACAATTAACAAGATATTTCTATTTACCTTCAACGCCATCTCATTACTGTTAAACTACACCATTACTTCTATTGTCACAGATAGTAATAACTATTACTGATTTACAACAGAAGAGTAAATATGGGTTGCTACCATAATTTTAGAGATAAATTCATAAGAAATTGATGCATTATTGTGTAAATTTGTGAAAGGGCATTCAAGACTTTAAAATAAGTTAAATGTTTTTAAACTAGGAATGTACAAGATTGTTATAGAACACAATTTAAAAATTTATTGAATAAGTACCTCAAAGCCACAGCCAAAAAAGGAAAAGAGTAGTCCATTTTTAATACAGGTCTTAAATAAAGTAAAAATATTTTTACAGATATTATCTAATAAGCTATTTTCCGCGACGCGCGTGAAACAATATATAAATTATTCTGTCTTAAGTTAAAATATAACCTACCCAAGTACCAAATTCATTCAAATCCGTCCAGGCATTTAAGCGTGATCGAGTTGATTTGATGTTCATAACACACAAATATTTAAACATGTAAACATTCAAACATCTATACAATACTTTCGCATTTATAATAAACTTTTATAGTAAGACACGCCCAGAAATATTTATTTTATGTGATCAACGAGTAAAAAAATTACTTATATTATTATATGTTATTATATATTGTAGTATTAACACAAAACATAAAAATATATCGGGAAGTGGAAGAAAAAGATATTTAATCTGAATTAATTCAATCATATTATTTCTAAAAACTACTGAATAGTTTCCTGTAGTATGTTGGTAAACATAAGAACATCAAAACATATATTACGTGGTATCTCCATAAGAGCAATCCTATCACATAGATTGTATCTAAGATTTTAGTACAATCAATTACATAAATAAAAAATACATAAAATAGTAATCCTATAAAAAACCCTATCGCATAGCAGCTAATGTTCCTATCATTTACTGGTAGAAAACAATGTAAAAAGCTACATACGACGTAGTTATAGTTGTATTATTTATTAGGTTTTGTTCTAAAGATGTACAAATCCCTTGTAGTAAGGTTTTAACTGTATATCACAGCTACTTATCTCAGAAATGTACGAAGCATGAGCTTAGCTAATGTATCTTTTACATTGTGTAAAGACAGGTTATATACAATAGTATACATGTATTATAATTAAATAAAACTCAATTAATTTAATATGTAAGACAATAAAAAAGAATCAATTGTTTTAGGGATCTATGTTGTTTTTCTATACATGGCTAAACTAGTAAACAATTGACATGCCTTCATGTTGAACAAACAGTACGTAAAATATATAAATAGCTAAAATAAATTTCTGCATTAATTGATTACATAACATACATATTCTTAGTTAATCATTTTTCAAATATTAATTTCATTTCATTTTATTATGTTTTAAATATTTGTTATTTTTTGTTTTAAGTAACTAAATTTGATATAATATCATTTACCAATAGTGCCAAGTTTAGAAAAACAGGTAAAATTAAGAATACATATAGTATTTGTTGTATAATAAAAATTGGTGTATATTCATAAATATATTAATTCGATAATCAAATTTCTAGATCTATTTAATATAGGTATGCACTATGGTAAGTCTAAGTACCCAAAAATTTCAAGAAATTATTGTTTTATAGATCATCATAAACTAAATTTATAATAATTGTGACTTAAATTTATTAGAAATTTAGTTCATAATGGTTTTTAAAATAAAAATATTGCTGTAATATCAAATTTTAGAGATTGATTTACAGAAGTGACACTTATGAAATGTCCCCATCGTGTTGATAAAAACAAGAAGGTGCCTTATCATATTAATTAAGAAATAACAAAAATTCATACAATACTTAAAACAAATGTTTACCGTACAGACAGAAAAAGATGTTAGTTATTACTTATGAAATCATTCATATATATGTATACATATGTACCTCACATAAGTGACTAGCAAGATAATCATGAATAATGATATCTCAAACGGCAAAATATATATTGCAGAATACTTCCTAGTATGCATGTCAGTAAGATGATAAAAAGAAGACCCTAGTCACTTGCCAGGGAGAGTGGATGTCATATGTCGATCTCAATGTCACTAGTGACATCATGAGTGCCACCAGATAATGGCGATGCCATATCTGGATCGATAAAGTCTCTCGGAGATCCCATGTTGTACTCTTGCGGTGAACTCATATCATCTTCAGGGGAGTCAGGTAGCTCCTCATCCATCATTATTGTAGCTGGCAGTGATGCAGAAATTTCTTGTAATTGACTCGAGTATACTGAAAATTAGTAAATTAATCTCAAATGAAGTTTAATTATATATGGATTCCATGAAATGTTTATTAATAGGTATGATAATAAAATATGATAGTTATTTATGTGATTCACCTGGGTATCATCATATTTAAAAACTTAGTACTAGTTCCGTTTAGTTTTAGACCACATTTATAATATATATAAGGGTATTTATTATTTATTCAAATTTAATTTTTAAGTAGTAGTAAAAAAAAAAGACTTTAATTGTAGTATTATTTTGATTTAAAAACCAAAATATTAAAGCAATTTTAATAAAATAAAAAAAAATTAAATCTTTTTCAAATTAGTATATAAATGACAGAGTTTTGAGGTAAGAAACAAAAAATTCAACCAAATTGAGAACCTCCTCCTTTCTTTGAAGTTGTTTAAAAAGAAAACAATGGATGGTCTTATTTTGATCACAAAAAGTACCACACTTCTGAGTGTTCCAAAATGTGAGGATCAATATTTTTTACTATATGTTATTGATAAGGCAGATCACATCTTCAATTTCAACATTATCAAATACCACATACCCTTAATATTAGATGACTTCAAATCAGCACTAAAGTTCAAAGATTCCTCCATGGCCTCCATAGTGAGAGTATCAGTGTCGAGGCTGTCCATAGACCCAGAACATGATGGTGAACTATCAGGATTTGTACTTAATGTAAGATGTATACTATCCAGTTGAGGTATATGTGGTCGAACCTGTAATGATGGAACTATTTATGATACAGAAATACTAATAAAATCGAAAGAAGTATAAAAAAACATTTTTGATGAATTAACTTTATAAATATTACATTTACAAAAATCTAGTGAGCTTTACCAGGATAAAAAGCAAGTCTATATCCTTCTCCATCCCATATATAGTATGTGTAGGGCTTAATCAGTCACTATGAATTTTCAATTCATAGTGACTGATTAAACCATTAAGGTGCTATATGTTAACAAACTCACTTTCACATTTATAATATTAGCAAGGATTTACTTAATATATTTTTATGTATTTTTTCTTATTTATTTATTTAGTATATTATTTAATTCATACACACCTTCATTCCATCAGGTCTATGAGGATTCCGACATCCTTTACACTTGCATTCAGTGCAGGGCTTGCTCTCCACATAACATGGACACCGCTGGCCACAGCAAGTTAGTTTTCCTGGAGTGGCTGTAGCATTACCACAGCGGCAACCTTTTCTCTTGCTGTTAGCAGAACTACGAGATCGATTAGATGGTTTTTTAAAACCTATTTGATTAGACTGAAAACAGATAATTAGATAGCTGTACTTATATATGGATAATTAATTTATTATACTCAAATTATTTTAAAAAGTATTTTTACCTTACTTTCCCTTTGGGTGGGTTCATTTTGACTAGGAGGTTCAGCATCATCTACAGCCTTTCTTTTAATAGTTATTTTATTTCCAGTACCTGCATACATTACAGAATATATTGAAGATCCATTTGAAATAGCTCTAGAGTTCAGTGAATCTTTACTTGAAGACCGGGTGTCAGCAGTACTAGAGGATGCTGCAGCTTGTGTTTGTGTAGACGCAGAGTTGGTATAAACACATGGCAATATACTGTACGCGGACTTCGAGAGACCAGCAGTACTCTTATAATCGTCGGTAAATCCGGCACCTTCCTGTATGAGATCCATGAGCCCCGAACTGGCAACCGTACCACCATTGATGCCTTCAGATATTTCGTCTTCTTCTAACAATATTTTGTACATATCTGTACCCATAAAATATTCACACAACTTTTTGTAACATTGCAGTAAAATTCTTAATTGTAAATTTTCAGAATAATTCTCGTAATCTTTACACCAACTACACGAAGGTTTCAGTTTCTTTCTTCCTCCTCTGCACTTTTTGCAAACATGATGCTGACATCCAGAACTTGTCGGAGTGTAAGGTTCTTTTAGAAGGTTTCCACAAACCGTGCAAGACAAAGATTGACGTAAATAAGGAACCAAACGAAATAAATCTATCCATGAAGACTTATCATCAGCATCAGCTAATACAATAAGCCGACACGTGGAAACATATAAACTTGTAGCATTCATCTTCATTGAAAAAATATGTATTTAATAAAATCTAGCAATCAAAATAATTGTTTACACCAAATATTACAAAGCCGAATAGATACACTTCCGAACCCCAGCAAAACATTTCATTTCCATCAAATAAAATGTCAAGCAAACAGAGTTGCCAGATACTATTTTTTATTTTTATCCAAATATAAAATACTTTTCTTTAAATCGATAGCATTCCATTCTATTTTATTCAACCACAAACGTACATCAATTTTTACTACGTTTGGCTATGTTAATCACAAATTGATCAACGGAAAAATCCTCCTCTTAATTAACTTCTTTTAACTTTTTCTGGTTTATTATCTTTATTGGTATATTCTGTTGTATTTATATAATACTGAATGATTTAAAACTACCAAAACTGTTAAAAAAATATTACCTAAATTTCTCCAAACCCATTTTACTTTTCTCCAAACATTTCTAAAAGAATTTAATTTTTTCAAAATTTCGTGTACGTAAATACTTTACCCAAAAAATAATTAATCTGGCAATGTTGGAAGCTGATAGTATATTGACTTAATGTCATTTTAACATCCTCTGTCAATGTCAAACAGAAGCTATGTTTATGAAGAATTTAACTAGGTGCGTTCAAAAAGAGTCAATAATACGGAAAATAAAACTGTCTGCCATTTTGATTAAATGTAACACAGGATCCGTATTTAAAGCTAAAAACGCTTTGATTTAATGTGTACACACTTCCAGATATATATATATATATATATATATATATATATATATATATATATATATATATATATATATATATATATATATATATATATATATATATATATATATAGTAGAATTCGAAATTCCTTTCTTTTTGAAGTTACTTAAAAATGGTGACTGTTTTATTAATAATTCAAATAATTGTATCACAGCAATGTAATTTAATATGAATAACATTTAATAGTCTGCATAATATTCAAGATCTCTGTATACATATCTACATAAATATTATATTATTTACGAAGCATTACGAACATAGCACAGATATACAAATAATAATTAAAAATAATTCGTTTTGAAAAAAATCCACCTCAATTCTAGAATTTTAATTCAATTGTGGAGAGTTTTTTCGGATACTTGCATGTTTATGTGTCCTTCTTAACTTTCCATATTTAACTTAATAAAACTTTTGTAACTCCATTAATAGCTTTATTATAATTCTCTTCATATAAAATCAACAATTATCCAGTGTAGTACCTTTTATCAATCATAGACCAAGCGATTACCATAGATAATACAACATCCATAAACATTGCAACACTAAAAAATAACGGGAATTCTTTTAAAAGAAATGTGAATATTTATAAATGCACTTATGCCTTTAAGCAAATTTTAATTTTAATTAAGGACCTTTACTTATATGTTATATCTTTATTTTTCTATTCTTTCTTCACTTTTCTATTCCATTTTTTGTCTTATAATTTGCACCTTTTTAATGTACAAAAACTTATTTTTTTTAAAATTACTAATAATAATTTGCTGTTCAATTATTGTTTTACAAACCTTTTAAGGGACTGGAACAAAAAGATAAACATCCTCCAATAGTTAAACAAATGACCAAAAATTTAAAAAGATATTAAAGGAATAAAAAATTACGAGTGTTTATTATGTATTTTTTAGACTTTATTTTTGACTGGTTAAATATTTTTTTTTCTGTTTAACTTCTAGTCTAGAAATTAATAAAATCATTGGTTCAAATTTTGGGAAATTTAAATTCTAATATAAGTGTCCTAAAGTTGAAGACTGGACTAATTTTATAGGTTTATTTTGAGGTGCCTCGATCCAAAAGATTAATTATGTGATTTTATTTTTTATTTTTAGTTGCGAGTTGGTCGCAAGGAGAAATATGAACAAAAATTATTAGATAGGCGGTTTTTTTTTATTTAATCCTGTATAGATTTTTAACTATAATAAAAAATAAAATTTTTTAATTGTTATTATTTAAATAATTTGATATTGGAAGTGCGACGAACCTCTATTCAAAAAGTATTTAGGGGAGTGAATCCGTACCTATCCCTGATCGTCTGGTCCACTCACAAGATGCGAGCAAAGTTTCGCAAACACATGTCTGAGAGTACATACAAGTATACGCCTTTTTTAAAAGGCCTGGAAAATAATCTTAAATAGAACAATAATGCTAATTAGGTAATTTTTAGTATAAAATTGCTCCTCGTCTAATAATTCAGCCATTGATTCCATGTCCCCTTTTCTGCAACCTAAATAATATAGCGCTTACTTATTTGCTCAGTAAACATACTTAAAAACCCGGGTAGGTAAATTGCTCGATTAATTTCCCATCTTATCTTGTCCATAGTCATATTTAGGTAAAGATGACGGTAACGGCGACGGAAGGACGACAAGCAACATGAGCAGCCGAGATGATGGACGTTGGACTCACAAGGTCGCAAATGGAGACCAAGAAATATAGAAAAGTAATCTATCCGCTGTACTAACAATCTAACAAGAACAGTATGCAAAACTGGACGTGCAGATCGAAGGATCGGGTCATTTGGCGGACCATGAATTAGACTATACCCAACAATGGGTAAATGCGGGCTGAGATATAAAATATATATTGTACAACGCACTTAACTATACACAAAGCTTTAAATTTAACGTGAATTAGTAGACCAAGTACCTGCCAAAACAAATTTTTAGTGACCTCTTACTAAAAGTCCTCTCCCCTTTTCTAATAAGGTGATCCACTTTTTGTTATTTAATTATTTGTCATAGTACCTTAAATTAAAAAAATATAATTAAATCTGTAAGTGCAAATATAAAACCTATGAAATAGGTATTACTATTTATTCTGTGGTAATACTTACCATGCCCACATTTTGCCGAAAATATTTAAATCCACATATTATAATTATATTTATTTGGTTTAATTATAATTTATATTATTTATAATTATTAGGTATTAATTACAATTATTAGGTTCGTCTGGGACATAATATATATAATTATAAGATATAGCGGTATTTCATATTATTATATGAAATTGTTTGTTAATAAAGTTTTAAAACGAAACAATTGGAACATTTTTGTTAGACCTAAAATTTTTGTCATTCATGAGATTCGAACTCACGATGTTTGAAGTCTATATGTCAAGGTATAAGTACACCACTACCACTATGCTCTTCTCATATATACTTCAGAAATAATATACATACAACGAATTAAATGGATGTCCATATTAGTAATTGGGCAGTGAACAAGCAGACGATAACTAAACAAATATATTCTGCATTTGTCAAAAATGTACTGTTTAAAAAAAGTACTTCTGTTACTTGAGATAATGTATTATTCTAACGATACCTCATACATCCAAATCTATTCAGGCATTCAAAAATTATGGCAAGATAATGCTTATATGTGATATATATATATATACCCATTGAACACTGAAAATAAAATATAGATCTAAGTATAAAGATTATCTAAACTTAAATACTTAGATATCTGAATTATAGAATAATTAAAGTCTTAAATAATTCAAATCTTGTTTCTCTGCTCTCATGCTCTCTAAGACACTTTCCGAGGCCAATAACCGACAATTTTACTCTATTAACCGATCGCACACACTTACCAGTACGAGAGGGCATAAATACTCATCTTATAAATAAATAAATTGTGTTCTACATGAGTTTAGCGCATACGTGCACACGTATTTTTTCTCATTTTTATAATAACTACTCATTAGATAGACCTCCTATACTTTATTAAAGTGCAAGCATAACAAAGACTCCATTTACTGATCAAACATGTGAACAATAAACATAATCAAATAACCAATCAGGGCATTTAGATATGAGTATCTAATGTAATGATATCTTGCCCAAATGAATATAACGTGTCATTATTGTCTTGACTTCGTCGGAATAAGTGATACGCAGCGTGGTTCAGGACGAGCGCTGATAAAAGATTGTCACGACAACAGTATCTGTTGGTCCTCCGCAGGGGAAAGAACTATTCCTGACCCACGTAGAGGAATCTGTAGTGACGAGTGAATTAATTGAATTGACTCAACGAACGCTTCCCGTCGTTGATTCGCAGTCTCTAGTGAATCTCTTGTCCGATTGAGCAAGTTTGTTGAAAGCTGTTGATTTGTGGTTCATTCGACGAGTGATAGTGATGTGGATCCTGAGCTGATCGTATACCCAATATCAGGATACTGTGATATTGCGAATTATCGCAATGTATAGGTATGTGAATTTATATCTACGAAGTGTTCAAACATTATAGTACCTAGATGAGGAAGCCACATTTTTGTATATACTCACACAATACTTTCTATCTACATAATTTTAAAAATTCATAATTATACACTTACTATTGTAAAACAAATAAATAAAATACTATTTCACCTACACATCTAAGTAAATAAATAAAAAGATCTATAATAAAACTGAAAATGGGCCTATAACGCGGCAAACTGCAAATTTATTATGAGAACGCCATGAAATTCGTCCTACCTACATAATTTTATGAATTTATGATTGATTTAAGATATATCAGTCGTAAACTGGCTATTGCTGAACATATTTCTTTCCCATACATTGCCATAAGAAATGGCCTCGAGCATCCACTAACTCCATGCAATGCATTTGAGGTCGTCGTTTCAGCTAGTGGGGAATCGCCTACACTACGTTTGCCTGAACGGGGTCGTCACTCAAGAGCTATTCTTTCCCATCAGTAGTCGGTTCTTTAAGCTATGTGATCAGTCTATTGCTATTTTAGCTTGCTTATCCTTAATAAATACTCAGTGAAATGTAATTCGTATCTGTATTATATTAGTACGGGCTGAAAATCGAGCTATTTCAAAACTACATCACGTAAGATGTTAAGAGTTGTGGCTAAATTGCATAGTATATCTTGACTTCCACTAAGAAAGAGTTTTGAAAATTCTTACAGAGGCAGCGGGTATATTCTATATGTCTTATTACTATTTTAAAACCATGTGTAATTTATTCGGTTTAAATAATAAAATACTAGATATGATGATGTCAATAGATATCCAGTATTTAGTATTAAAATACCTATTAAGTGTAATATGTTAATAGCATTTTAATTGTATATATAATTTTCTAATAAGAACATTATTAAACTGGTATATCTACATATAATTAATGTCACAGAAAGGTTATTAGATAAGAAAGTACTCCACTATTTATATACATATCTTATGTACAAATAAACAACTTATATAGAGAATAGTGTACCCAAATCACACCGCCTCGATGTTATAATATGGTTTGATATATTTTGACAGTGATAACTGATGCTTCTTGCATCGACATCCATGTGATGACGAGGTACAAATGTCTATATTAATATTATAAAGAGGAAAGATTTGGTTGTTTGTTTGTAACGAATGAAGGCAAAACTACTCAACCGTATTTAAAAATTCACCTATAAAAAAAACTATATTATTAGCGAGTAACATAAGTTTTATGTTATTTTCTAAAAATATATCTACTCGTGCGAAGTCAATCTTGATAGCCAGTTCACTATAAAACCCTATACCAAGCCGCCTGGCCTGCGTTGTAATAAATTATATCTACTTATACCGAACATTTATTTGTACACCGTAACATAGGTTTTTATCGCCTTTATATATCAGGATATTTTTGTATATTTATATACTTTCTATATTTATGAAGATCTCATCGCCGATCCACTCACATCATAAAAACCACGACCACTCTGTCAAAAGTGTATGACTGATGAGAGGTATCAAGTAAATGAACAGATTTTAATGATGTTCTTTTGTTTGAAAACTAGTTTAAATAAAGTAAATTTAGTTTTTAAGATAAACATCGATTTAAAATTCACACGTTTCTAGATTATGTGTTGGGGTAATAGTAGTAAATTTTAAAAGTTGACAGTAGATAATAAACAATATCATCTCATCTTTATTACCTTATGAGCACATAAATTCTGTAAGTTGTACAGAACATTTTAGCTTAAGTATGAGTGCTGTTATACAACATGTAGTTATCGATTCCAAATTGGAATTATTGTTTTATTATAACAGGATACCAAGAATTGTCTCTCTTAAAGCCTTAAAAGTTTTGAAGTCATTGCAGATGAGGCAAACATAAAGAACACCTTATTTGTGGGCATAATTCCTATTCAGAACCCATCGACATCAATTTTTTTTTTAAATGGATGATAAAGGGATGGTAACACCAGTGAGGGATGATAGATGGCAATGAAAAGGCAGGTCAGTTAGCCTATCGTGACGGATTCGCTTGGAATAAAACACAAGAGTTTCCAGGGGGAACCGCGAGAAGGTCGACCTGACATGGTACATTGCTAACAATGGGGCTACTAATCCCCATTTTTAACAATCCATTATCCCCCCATCGACATCTATTAATTTTTGTAATCTTCCTTTTTAATGATGCTCATATAAAACTCCTAACTAACAATTTTGTACCTTTTTAATACGCAAAAACTGATTTATTAAAAATTAATTATAGATACGTCAAGGTATATTGTATGCATAAGTATGTATATAGAACACTAATAAAAAAAACGAGACAGCTAATTAGCTGACAAAAATTAATTGACCTGTTTTTCAGGCTTAATGCTCTATCTATATAATCTAAGCTTTATATATTAGTATTTATATTTATTAGTAGATATTAAATAAATAAATAAATCCCCTAACTAGAATCCCCTAAATAGATTAACCCCTACGCACTTCCTTCTGGAAACCATGGTAGTTAATATGCTACAATCGGCCACTTGACCTGACTTCATTCTTAACTATCAACGCTCACTGGGTACCAACATATACTGATAATGTAGGCAAAGTCACCAACCCATTTTTACCCCATTTAAAAAAGAAGTGTCTACCAACTTATAAATAAATCTCTTTGCATGTATTTAAAATTGGCTACTTAAAAAGACTATACCAGTTTGTTACTTTACGAGTATGTAACGTCACAGTTATTAACGTAAAAGAAAAATATTTTCCGGTTGATTCATGTAAAGAAAAATATAATCAGTATATCATGATTAGAGGTAAACTTACTTATATTTTATTATTAATACTACTTTAGTACTTGCATGTTGAATGTGCGCGGTCGTCGAATTTACTTTTGTAATTTTTACTTGTTTTCTCTCTAAGAAAATATTATAATTTAATGTATATAACCAACTACAAGTATTATACCAACTAAAATGAAAATTAAAAATTTACAAAGATGTCTATAACTCAATCACTCATGTACCTACAAATTCAAATTATATTTGCTACATTGATAGATTATAATAAACTAAACTGATACAATTTAGTTTATCACCTGTACAATAATAAAATAGAAACTTAATAAAAATTTTCAATAAATACAGCATATGCATATAATGTTACAACAACTCTATTCGGAATATTTTATAGGTAAAATTGATCTACACTGACAGACTGGACTTTGCTATATTTTTTATTACATTTATTTAATAGATTACGAGTGAAGATTGTTTACGCAGTCAATATACCTATGAAACTGACAAAGCCAGTATTTTAAGAAATGTATTATTCATTAAAATACGAAATAGTGTCGTGTTTGCTAGATTATTATTTTGTGTTCGCTCGGGGTGTTGTGGTCAAATGTCTTGTTATTATAAAAAAAAAAAAAACTATAATAATTGTTCATCTCTTTATTGCAATAACTTTATTTATATAAGTAAATAGGTAACTCATTTCATTTCTTCAGTTTTTACTAAACTTAAGATGTATAGGTATCCTTTTCAAATTATTATACTTGAATATGATACTTTATAACTCCAGATTATAACTATCCTTAGGTAAATATTTGTCTAAGGTCGTCTAAACAATCAATCAATCATGAATTTCAAATTTTGACAGTCAGTGTTATCTATGAGAAATCAGGCAAGGTTTTTGGTATTTCGTAAAAAGGCCAGTGCACTCGTATAATAAGAATATTTTGCACAGCAAAAATGAGGCACTTTATTCATAATAAAATTATCAAATGATGGAATTTTTTAAACGTGATCTCAGTAAGTGTAATTTTCAAGAAAGAATTAATATATTAAAATAAATGATGATAACAAAATCGTCAATAGAAATAGTCTTTATGGTCATATTATTTCACTTTAATAGCCATGAGCCGTTTTACCTTTACAACTTATACACACAATTGTAGTTGACAAATAAGATCATTGGCCCTTACCTACGAGTATATGGTACCCTTCCTTATCTATCAATTTCTGCAATTAATTCCAGAAAACTATAAAAAAATGTTGCTCTAATATTTTTCTGCTTTAGTTTTTTGGAAGGTATACAAGTGCAACATACTGTAACATAAGATTTGTCTGTTTAAAAATTGTCACAATACTGTACACTGCTCTATACGCTAACATTAATGCTCCTTTCCACTTTGGGTTTGCTGGAAGAAAACTTTATTAGAATTAGGCTCGTACTTTGTACTCGCTCGCTTTGTACATTTGATAACCTCTGTTATATACTTATTACTGTTGTATACAATAAATAATAAATAAATAAATAAGACAATAAAAGTACTTTTTTTTTTCCAAATTGAAAAAATAAGGGAGGAGGTTATCAGTATTGTATTTTCACCAATTCCAAAAGCATTTTTTGACAATCCTTTTTTAAATTGATAGGATATTTATTGATTGCATGTTGACCTGAAGAATAGTGGAATTACGATGATTGATTATTATATGTGACTTGATAATATAATTATATACATTAACAAGCTGATCCAACAAACGTTGTTCTCATAAAAATCTTTTTTTGGATAGGAACTCCCAAATCACCTAGCGGTGGGATATATCACGACTTATTTTCATACCTATCGAATACACTTAAAAAATTTACAAAAATCGATCGAGCCGTTTCAGGTGAGTTCGACCATTAATACCATGATGCAAGATTTTTATATATAATATAAGATGTGATCACTGTTGAAATCTCCGTTTTTCTGTTCGTTCTCAATGTAACTATTCAATCCACTATTACAAAAGAAAAGGGATTGTTAGTAAAAGGGTCTAACATCGCCATTGCTAGCAATTAACCGTATCACGTCGACCTCCCTGAAAACCACCGTGGTTAATTCTTGAATCAATTATGATGGGCAGTTAGCCCAGACTTGCTTTCATTCTCATCTATCATCCCTCACTGGTGATAATCACCCGTCAGTTTATAGCAATAGCG